GAGGAAGTTGCTTTGCAGCTTTGGGGACAGGGACATAGCAGGTTTTCCTTGGGAACCTCGTCTGAATCAAAGATAGGAGCAGCAAAGTTGCTCGACTTTAATCTGCTGTCCCACAAGTACTTTGTTTATAATCACGTGGCACAGTTCTATTTATGACTATATTAGCACTTTTTTCCATTTCCTGGTAGGTGGGTGAGGAATAAAACCAAATTAAAAGATAGTTAGCAAGCTCAGTTTGTAAGTTGCATGTGTGAAGCCAAGGTGAGGCATTCCTTGCCTAATTACAGGACGTATCCATTGCAATTTTCTCAGATTGACTTTTTTTGAAAATTTAACACAAGTCTCGGTTATCTGAAACCCCTGCTTGAACCCTTGGTCCGCCCCTAATACTGTTCATCATCCTGTTTTGTGTCACAACACCCTGCTACCTTGATTCACTCTTCGTCGTTGGCTAGGTTTTGGATTTATTACTTTCGAGGACGAACAATCAGTGGACCAGGCTGTCAACATGCATTTTCACGACATCATGGGCAAAAAAGTGTGTAGTTGTAGTTTTATTTTACCTTAAGAAAGAACCAAGTCTTGGGCAACTAGCAATTTCACTGGTGAATAAAAATCGTTGGTTCGGTTAGGCGGGAGAAGCATCTACGTCCAAATTCGAGGCTTGATCCATGAAGGTGGGGAAAGTCTTCTGAGTTTGATTCAACAGGCGAGGAAGGCGGTTAGCTTGTGCCATAGCCCTTGGAAGAGGCAGATCCTGAAAGCCTGAGGACTTAGGCTGTGGGCTGTTGCGTTTGGGGTAAGGCCTTGTGCTGACAGACCTGGGGGGCACAGCTCACTACGCCGAGCTGATGATGACTGCCTTAATTCCGAGTGCCGCTTTAGCGGGGATGGAAGTTAGTTGTTGCCAGCTGTTTGGAAATCAGAATCCCAATGAAATCTGAGTTGTTCAAGGCTTGGTTTAAGATACCACTCCTTCAGATGTGTATTTGATACTCAAATTTTGAGGTGGTGTGAGACAATCTACTTTATATAGTCTTAAACTTAAAAAGGAAAAGTAAAAACATCATGAAGGATTGGTTTTTTAAAAAATTGGGTCACTTACTGTGAAACTTTGATACAAACCCACGTACTCTATATAGTATTTAACCACAATGCAGTTAAGTGACCTCTGGTTGTTTCATCTTCATACTGTGTTGTCAGCAAATGGGTGTTCAAGAGGGAGGAATTTTTTAGGCTTGCTTTGATGTTACTCAGCAAGGAACATGCTTATACCTGTGGAAAAAAAAAAAAACCAACCTAAAAGCAAAGTAAATTGTTGCAGGACACCAAAGTTTTTTATACAGAGAAAATAACTTCTTAAAGAAAAATTAACCACAGGAAATTCTGGTAAATTTAAAGTCCTTGCAGCTTTACGGTGTAACCACAGTTTTTAAAGTAAGCGGTAAAACTGCTGACCTTAGAGTGAACAGATCTCAAGGAAGTACAAGACCACTGTCACTTCCCTTAAATGATTGCATTGTATAATTTTGCATTGTCTTATAAAGTCTCTCTATGTGCTGATATTTCATAAGCATTTATCTAGCTAGCAGGGGATATATTCTCTTGTATCAGTGGAGGTTTGGTTCATTATGCAGTGTATAATGCTCTTTATTCCTATGAACTTGTTTTGGGCTGATTTGCTAATGATGGAAATGAAGCAAATGAAGAAATGTGCTTGTGTAATCAAGACCATTAGTGGATGTTCTTGATTACTGGTATTTTCCTCTTGCGAGCAGTTGAGCGCTCCCGTTTGTGAGCAGCTGCACTGACAGCAGTGACTTGGCATCGGTACGTGTGCGAATTACCTATATCCTCTGTACGTCCTCGGATCTTTCCTTGGGATTGCCTTAAACCGAGGTGAACCGCTTCAGTGAGAGGTCGTACCACAAAGCAGCATGCCAGGTAGCGGTAGGAACAAAGGCCAGCACGGCTGCTCTAGTGGTTCTGGGAAAGTACGGAGAGCCCTGTGCGAGCCTTCGAAACGTCACCCCTCCTGCTGCCGCTTTTCGGAACACGTCAGGGCTAATTCAGAGTTCTCCGTTGTTTCCCAAACAGTCTCAGTACCAAAATGACATAATCTATTTTTGCGCTTTTTTTTTTCCTTTCAGTGACATGAAAAGCAGAAATACACAGTGTTTTTTCAGCCAGGGGATGCCTCATTTCTTGGTGTAAACTGGGCTTTGCTTTAGACAGGCATAGAATTTTAACCTTGGCGCTAAGAATATTGCACAGGGATTTTTTCAGTCCTCAGTTTGGCAGTTCACCGCTTCCAAATGTGCACTGAAAAATTACCGGAATTCTTCCACGTAGAGACTCCACTCTCTTCATTGACTAATGATGCCCACTTTAAAAAATGGTATCGCTTTCTTTTTGGTAATTAAAAAGGTATTGCTGAAATGAATCCATATGTTGTTGAAAGGGGGGAAAAAAAAAAATTAAAATTGCAAGAAGGACTCTGCTTTTGTAAGCAATAACTGAATTCCCTGAAGGCAAATGTGTTAAGACTCATTAATTTGAGTCCTTTGAAAAATTCCCTCGGTTCCTCTCTGGAAGGGCCCTCAGCTGACAGAGATTTGGTTACTGTCATGTCTAATGTCCTTGGGGCATCTGCGGGCGGGGGGGCGGGGGGCTTTGTCCTTGCCTTGTGCCTGTTTCCTGTTTGTTCTCTGACATGAATGGTTTTTAAGACATGGCAGGAAGAATTCTGAATACGTTATTTTCCATACTACTCAGGCCCATTGATGATTGAGATTTATTTTCTTTGTACTCTGGCACCCATTAAAATTAATCATAAAATAAAAAAAGACTTTAATTCAGCATGCATGAGTGCTGAGAGTGTTTCATTAAATCAGAAACTGGATTTTTTTTTTTTTTTTGAGAGGTTTATATTGAATGTGCAGCTTATTTTAAGTAGGTCAAATGCACTTATGTGATGGCTTGGAACACTAGGACATTTTATCTTTGAATAAAATAAGTTAAGCACTGTGGCTTACTAATTTTAAGAACAGGAGGGCTTTTGTCACTGACTTAACACAGTATGAAGATTTGCTTCTTATTGACTCAACTGTCCATTTTTATTACTTGCATGTTTGTTTACTTTTTTGTTAGATGTAATGTAAGATTCTCTTATCACATCCATTCCCTCTGACATTGTTTGAGTTAATTGAGATTCTTTAAGCGTTAGCCTGGGGAAGGTAAGTCTTTATCTTCCATTAGACATTTAAATAAAATCTAAGTTTAAAAACAAACAAACAAAAAACCAACCAAACAAATGTGTGTTTCTCAGGTATGAGCAGAGCTGAAATTGTAGTTAGATGGGGTGGGTTTAAACTGTAACTTTCAAATGGACCCCAAACATGTTTGAATGGTTAAAGCATTAGTACCCTTTTTCAGAGCGTTCTCTTTACTCAAAGTTCTTGTTTTACTGAAAATGTCATCTTTGTAACTCCTGCCTTAAATGTTAAATTAGTATATAAATAATTTAAAAGATTATGCCTTTTTTTTTTAAGTGAAGAGCCGTTGTAAGAGGGTACTGCTGTTTTAAGATTAAAGCCGATGAATACTGTGCTATGATGGAACACAAGTGATTTGTAGGATGTGTTTTACTTGAAATACCTCAACAGTAGGACTTCTAATGTCTTACCATCATATATATTGTACCTGAGAAACATTTTAAATTACTGGCCTTAAGTTTAATAATTAAGTATTTAGACATAAGTCATAAGATGCTAAGTGTAGTCTTAAGTGTAATTACGGGTGTGTGTGAAGGGAAGGGGGGTGTATTAACCTGCGCCATCTCTCCTAAATGGTGACTCTGTTTGTTTAGGTGGAGGTGAAACGCGCAGAACCTCGTGATAGCAAAAGCCAAACTCCAGGGCCACCCGGTGCCAGTCAGTGGGGAAGCAGGATCATGCCAAGCGCTGCCAATGGCTGGGCAGGTCAGCCCCCTCCGACCTGGCAACAAGGATATGGCCCTCAAGGTACTGCTTTAGTCCTCCCCGAGTCGCTGTCACAAGGCTTGCCCTTGCAGCCTACTGCTAATTTGGTCTGGCTGGCAAGTGACAGCATTCCCGAGTTTATCGATGCTGTGCTGGGTTATCGATAGCAGAACTAAAATCCCACACCTCAGTCCCTCCCAAGTCTGCTGAGATTGTTGCTTGGCTGCTTTTCCCAGAAAATTTTGTTTCATAGGGCAGAAGTCAGTGGGCTGTGCCGAGCCTGGCATGTGTCCCAGGCAGCGCTTCACCAGCTCGATTCGGTT